TTTCTTAATTCATTTTTCATCTGATGTCAGTAATTCTTATCAAATTCTGTCTGTTCTTTATAAAATCCAGATGTTTTAACATCTTTTTCAAGATATGGAGTATTCTTGATTTTGCCTAAGAGTACTTCAGAAATCCAATAGATATATGCTGCTTCACTCCAAATTCTCAGGTTTATAGCCAAATAAATACACTTCTTATTTTGGGACAACAGAAATTGATAATGATTTCTTAGACCACACAGCATTCAATCAGCAAGCAATCCCTACCTATTCTATTGGTTCTAAAAAGGAAGCACAGAAATTTCACTAATCTTACATTGAGGCAAAATGTAACACCAGTAATGAATAGGACAGGGTGTTGACAACTGTGAGTTTTAAAATACTATAAAAACTGAAGACCTCTGATTAAATTAATCAGCTGACAAAAAATAACTATGTTTTCATTAATGAATTACCATGTACAAGTTTATATCAGAATACAGATCTAACTATGTGCTATAATGGTTTATATTTTACATTTCTAGCAAGGGGCAAAGTTCTAAGTGCACTTCATATATTCAGTTTAACAGAAATGAAAGGAAGATACCAACATAGAAAACAAAGCTGAGCACCCCATGAAAAGTTAACAGATAGTGGCATACAGAACATGCATAATGAAAAAAATGGAAATTAACAGAGAAATAAATGCTGACAGACTTCTGGTATAGCAGATAAAAGGATAGGCACATATAGAAAGAAAATGTATGAAGAGAAAAAAAGAAATATTGAATACAGAATTTCTGGAAAATGAAATAAGGGGTAGTCAAAAGATAACAGTTGTACCGATAAAAGAGAAGGAATCCTTGGTGCTGTCTGAGCTTGGTTATATTTATGCAGACGTTAAATTACCCATAATAGATAACATCATCAGTGCTATATCATAACAGTGCACAAATGATGTTATCTATTTGGGCCAGGGGTAGGCAACCTCGGCTCTTTTATGACTTGTGGACTTCAATACCCAGAATTCCTGAACCAGCCATGCTGACTCAGGAATTCTGGGAGTTGAAGTCCACAAGACATAAAAGAGCCAAGATTGCCTACCCCTTATTTGGGCCTTTGCATAAATAGAAAGCCAGTTTGGTCTAGTGATTAAGCCACAAGACAGAAATCAAGAGACCGTGAGTTCTAGTCCTACCTTAGCCATGAAAGCCAGTTGGGTGATCTTGAAACAGTCATTCTCAGCCCAACTCACCTCACAGGGTTGTTGTTGTGGGGAAAATAGGAGGAGGAAGGTGTCTTGGATATGTTCACTGTCTTGAGTTATTCGTTAAAATAATAAAGGCAGGATACAAATTAAATTTAAAAAATTAAAATAAATGCAACCAGCTCAAAGTGCCAAGGACCCCTCATCTAAATTCTGAGATATGAATATGAAAGCAACACATATTATCTATACATTACATTTATCCTTTCAAAAATAATACATTTCTCTTTAATATCACTAGTTTGCCCATGCCTATGAATCACCACAATTTCCATCCCTAATAAAGATAAGCATCACCTTAGAATTACTTAATGGCATGCTCGCACAATACACCTGTTGTTCACACTGTATGAATCTGAGATTTACCAATGAGACATAATTACAGAAAGTTATCTAACATAGGGAATCTTACCTTTATCAGCTGAGCAAAAAACAAACTATGGTGATATTGAATTGCTAAAACCATTGACTGATTTGGAGAAGAAAGCTAAATCTAAGCATAATATGGCTCAATGGTTATGTGAATACAATTAAGAACATGAAAATAAGCCTGTTAGATCAGGCCACACTTTAGTATAATCTACAGCAGGGGTGTCAAACTGCCAGCCCGTGGGCCGATTTCATCATACCAAAGCCGCACCCACCCCATTGCCAGCAATGCAAAAAGAGTCGCGATACGTCACGACACATCACTTGATGTGGCGAGTTTGACACCTAGACTGTGTAGATATACTGAGATAATTACTCTGTTGGGGAGAAGGGCAGCATATACATTTAATAAATAATAAATTTTGTTTCTCACAGCAGCCAACCAGATGCCTTTCAGCTGTCCAAACAAGGAGTGCTAGATTTATTTATTTTTCTCAATGTTATCCTGCAAAAAGTATTTGGAAGCCCACTGCCCCCAACCAAGATGTAAAACTGAGTTTTCAAGACTGATAGCCCTTCATTATTCTGCATTAATTTAGCCAATCCTCTTTTCAAGCCATCCATATAGCTTGTACTAATTTACTTACATAGGAAATTTATATAATCCCACTACCACTTCAAGCAAATAATTCTAGGCAGCTAATAATACAAACAATAAATACAAGTAATAGCAAGGGACGTGTGCTTTCCGGTATGTTATACAAAGCCTTTGTATAACATACAAAGCATACTTTCCTTGTTTTTTATATTAATTATTATTAGTAACCTGGTTACCTTCTTCTTTATAAATTCTTCCACTTAAATGATAGCCCTTATGTTATATTTCTATAGCATCTTGAACATTATCTACAGCAGTGGTTCTCAACCTTTTTAATGCCGCAACCCCCAACCGGTTGTAAGTCGAGGACTACTCAACCGGTCGTTAAGTCGAGGACTACTCAACTGGAGCAGCACCGTTTGCAGAATGGGACTTTTGGAGGGCTCAGCAGGGCAGAGACAGCCTGGACAATTCCTATTGGCTTTTAAAAACCAATAGAATTAGATTCTGTTCAAGAGAGTCTATTCTATTGGCTTTCAAAAGCCAATAGAATAAAAGGGAGTAGCACAGCTAAGGAAAAGGAGAAAAAAATGGCGGACTGTGTTGTTTGGCGACCCCCGTGAAATGGTCATTCGACCCCAAATGGGGTCCCGACCCACAGGTTGACAACCACTGATCTACAGACTCATTTTTATTGGACTCTGCTAACAACAAGGCTAAGCTAAGATTTTACAGCATTCCAGAAACATAAGAAGGTTGGAGCTGTCTGCATTTTTGGATTTCCAGGAAAGACATTGCACTATGGACAGTCAGAACATAACCATTGTATACCACATATGGTTTAAAAGATGATAATCAGCATCTTGAAGTACAACTAGGAGCCTTCTGGAAACCAGCACAGCTTTCACTGCATTCTGCACAATTGAAGTTTCCAAAAGTTTGTCAAGGGCAGCCCCCATGTGGATTGCATTGTAGTACCATAATCAAGATGAGAAGAGACAAAGGTGTATTGATTGTAAGTTGATGTTCATCACCAAAAAATCTGTCACTTCTACAGGAACACCCCCCTCATCCTGCAAACAATAGTCTCCTTGTCAAGACCCTTGTTCTTTTTGAAGGCAAAGGAGCTATTATACTAGGAGCAGCACTAAGTACTACTCCTGCTTTCAAGATCTCTCTTAATACCTCTTTGACTATCTAAGCATCTCCAATGCAGCAATCTTGGATTTCAAGAAACTGACTTGATATTTGAGAGTCAGGAGTTCATTGCACTGAACATAAATCCACAATTCATGGTGAACAGACAACATACACATTATATAATATTTCAATATACAAATTGAAATCTTCCTTGATTTCAGTTTAGTCATTAGTAATTTGGTCTCCTTCTTTATAAATTCTTCCACGTAAATGATAGTCCTTATTTTATATTTTTACAAAAAGTGAACCATGAATTCCCTATACAATAGTTAATTTAACTATGATGCCTAATCTATAGAAAACACTGTGTATCACTCTCACAAGATTCTTCCTGTATCTGCCATCTAGCTCACAAATTCTGAAATGCCACAATTTGTAACAAATGTAAAAGAATAAACAATCTGTAAAAATTGTAACAAATAATTTGTTTGCCCTCTAGGTCATAAACTCTCTTCTAAAAAGTGCTAGTTGAGACTAAGCTAACTGAAGCATGCTTTTCCATCCACTAGTTTATCATCTGATAAATGATCCATCTGCTTCTGTAAGATCTTCAATTCAAACTGTGCTCTCAGAAAACAAGCAGACCCATCCCACTGAATCAGGAAAAAGACCTCATAATATTATCCAATTACAGAAATAACTTTCCTTAAATAAGCTCTCCAAATTTACCAATTTCTTCACAAATCTCCCCTATTTCTTTCTGATCTCCTGTTTGCTAATTCTGGCTATCAGCTTCCAAGACATACAATAATCTGGAGCAGGTTGGTAATATCTTTTCAGATTAACAAATTTTACTTTAAGTTTTTATGAGTCATAGCTCACTTCATCAGGTGCAAAGAGTGCAGGATTCCAATTGGGATGATACAGGGGGAAGTGAAAGGAAGACAGAGTATTTATGTAGTCACAGGTTACACGTGTGATAATTACCACTACCTTCTTAATTAATAATTGTAATGTGTTTAAAATGTGCTTTTAAAGCCCTGAAATAGCTTGAAACTTTCCAAAGGCCTGAAACTCAAGATCTCAGCTATTTTAGAAATAGCTTAAACATAAAGTCTTTTAAAAAGTTACAATAAAATATTATTATAAAAGTAAAGATAAACTTTTCCCATATCGTCATGTCCGTCTCAAGGGAGTGGTGCTCATCTTCATTCTTAACTGAAGGGGCCAGCGTTGTCTGAAGACATTTCTGTGGTCATGTGGCCATCATGACTGTATGCCAAGGTGCATGGAACGCTGTTACCTTCCCACCAAAGTGGTATCTATTTATCTACTTGCATTCACATGCTTTCAAAGTGCCAGGTAGGCAGGAACCGGGGTAAATAACCAAAGCTCACCCTGTTGCATGGTACTCAACTCTCGAACCCAGGCGTTCAGCTTTCCAGCTGACAAGCTCAGCATCTTTAACTGCTGAGCCATCACGGCCCCAGTCCATGACAACATTTTTTTTAATAAAAATGTGTTAATCTGAAAAGATACTATCAAATTCCTACTAATTTAGACTAACAAGGTTATCAACACATGCAAGTAAAACTCTTTCCAGTTTCAGTCCTTTAGTATCCACAATACACTATTTATACAACTTACCAACTCCCTTGCTTCTTCCAGCTGCTTTTCCACATTTGAAACCAACTGTCTCTTCTCATCTAAAACAAAATAATAGATGCTTAGTTGAACAATATTTCTATTCTGAGAGCCATATTTAGTAATGATTTGGTAGTACTGAAATCTGGCAATTTTGCCAGAGCTTAGAAGCAATGGATTGAGCTAAGCTACTATTTTGTGGAAGACCTACAAAAAATTACACACTTATAGGCTGAGACTGGGAAATTGAAAGATATTCCAAAAGCAAGCCATGGCAAATCATACTGTTGATAAAAAAAAATTGCATGGCCGCACTATTTCCAGAAAATTGCCTGGACGTATCTAGGTAGGATCAGAAAGTTGCAAGCTTAAGGACATAATAAGGGCATCTTTCTTTTGTGTACATATTTTGTGTTTGGCACTAGGTAACTGTTAAGTGTGCATTTGCCAAGACAGTCTGTGAGGGAATCATTGCTCACTTTGAATCTTTAGCTTATACTCTATTTCTGAATTTAAAAAGCATAGATTTTTTATTCATAACAAAGCAAAGTAAAATTCTAATCATGAAGGGAAATTGGAACAAAAAATAAAGCCATCTAAACTTCAAAATGATACTGAAAAGGATATAACATAGAATGGTTCCCAACATGTACTAAATCCCACTTTTCTCCTATGCTACACCCTGTTTCAACCAATGTGTTTGGTCTCAAACGCTGTACAAATACGCTGTACAAATACGTTGCCCCTAGGAGGCTTATGGGTTGTGACTTCAAAAATCCTAAAAGTTTTCCAGTTCAGCTACTGTATCTAAACTCAGGCTGAGTCATAGGATCGGCAACCTTAGCTTAAGCCGGAGGAAAACAAACAACAGAGAATTAAAGAAAAGGCTATCCCAGGAAGCCATCCCACTTATCATCCGAGGAGGAGCCGTCCTTCTTGTGAGCATCCCATACATCTCGACTGTGAAAAAACAGAATCCTGGGGTAAAAAAGGCATCGGTCCTGACCAGCAGGGTTCTTCCTAGAATATCAGACTAACTACCTCATCAAGGCACGAAAGGACCACAATCGTGACAGATAGGCAGCAGGTAGTGACCTCGGCCGGGGAGATGCAGAGGGCTGAACCAGCCACCATCACCGCCATCACTCACCTCCTACCAACTTGGGGACTTTTCCGATGCGGTTCGTGATCTCAGCGGTAAGAACCGAAAAGTCTTGCTCGTAGCCCTCGAAATCAGAGGACATGATGGCGGCAGCAACCAGAAGACAAGACAAGACCTAAAGGTCCAAGCAGCCAAACTGCCGCCGTAAACGGAAGCAAAGGAAGAAATCCTCGCCTTTCTCAAGCCGCCGAAACACCAAACTCTCAACTCAGCCGCTAAACGCTCCTCCTGTCACAGCCAGAACTTCCGGATTGAGTCCCATGGACCATTTCTTCCCGGGTGCTTCTGACGCGAGCCGAAGTTCCGCTATCCTATTTGCCCCGTCCCACGGACCCTTCGGCGCTTTTTCCTGATGCTGGGTAGTCGACGGCATTCACACCATGTTATCTTTCGAGCAAGGCCAGGGATAGAAGAGGCAGGACGACCGTCTGTCGGAGCTTCGCTGCTAAGCAAATAAGAATTCTGGGCCCCGTAGAAACATTTGGATTGAAAGATTTTTTTTTTTCATCCCCAATGTGTTCCTGTCCGTGGGGGAAGTGTTTCCCAGGGCACTTGCCAGACGATTGAGGGCATTTCCAAAGTCAGGGCGGAACGGAAGGATTGCATGTCCGGGTTCTGTGAAGGTGTCCCGGGGAAGTAGAGCACGGAGCCGCTGAAAGAGCGGCAAATAAGGCGGACGGCGGGGGCTCCCTTGCCGGTTCTGTCTGAAGAAAAGGCAGCGGGGAAAACCTGGGACAAAGCAGGCTGGGGTTCGTCGCTGGTAAGCCGCAATGTCCTGCCTGGACTGCGGTCGCAGTAAAGGAATTGCAGATCCTTCTCTGCCTTCTTCTATCTAAGCGTAGAAAGGATGGCAGAGAGGCGGTGTCGTGATCAGCCTTTGCTTTTACTTTGCTTGCTGAGTCTTCGCCAAGTCACTTATTTTTCCCATTGAAAGGAGGAGGAGGGCTTTCGTTTCTGGTTTCCTTGTCCTTCAAATTGCGATAAATAGACAGATGTCCGATAGCTGCCGCCTTTTCTCTATACAGGGAAGCGGACGTAGCCCCGCTTCACCTGTTGAACTATTGCCTGTTGCAGCCTCCTTGTACTTTGGTGTTATATATAGAAGAGAGAACGAATTCCGTGCTATCGTTTGTATTGCGATGCTCAAAGCACAGACAATGCTTTTGCTGTGCTAATTTGCGGGGAAGGATTTCACTCCCGGGGGTCCCCGTTGTTTCAATTACTTATATAAGCGTTCGTGCATAAATTAACTTCAGCGGTAATGTGGAAAAGTGGGCACGGGTTTATTGCAAATCAAATCTTTTTTTGTGGCCATAGAGCAGTGATGAGGTATAATTGACCACATCAGAGTTGTTTAAATACAGGTAGTCCTCAACTTACGACCCCAATTGAGCCTAAAATTTCCGTTGCTAAGGAAGACATTTGTTAAGTGAGTTTTGTCCCATTTTACGACCGTTAAGTTGTTGAGTGAATAATTGCAGTTGTTAAGTTAGTAATACAGTTGTTAAGGGAATCTGGCTTCCCCATGGACTTTGCTTGTCAAAAAGTTGCAAAAGGGTATCACATAATCCCAGGATGCTGCAACCATCATAAATATGAATCAATTGCCACGCATCTGAATTTTGATCATGGGATCATGGGGGTGGCTGCAGTGGTTGTAAGTGTGCAAAATGATCGTAAGTCACTTTTTTCAGCATCATTGTAACTTCAAATTGTCACTAAATGAACTATTGTAAGTTGAAGACTACTTGTATTCCCAGGAAGATATAGCAAATAGTTATTTCTCTCAGCAATACTTGTGTCACAGAGTCCATATGTTATCCTATTGTCCTTGAACTTACTTGGAATGTTATTGAATTAATCAATCTGTAAAGAGGCTAAAATAAATACTTTGGATTTTTTTCATTATTAGTTAATGGTAGACTACCAGGTTGTTCTCTCATTTATGAAAAATCAACATTTTTGTAGTGAAAAGCATTTTCAGGTGCTTAACAGACACATAATTACTTTATTGCATTAAAGGGGGAGAAATGTCTAAATAGACAAAAACAGTGACTTCTGCTAGCCCAGTTAATTTCTCATATGAAGAGATAACTTCACTGTAATATCACAAACACTTTTTGAACCTTTCTCCTACTTTGTGACATATACATTAAGAAAAAACATATCTAAATTCTTACTTGCATTTGAAATTAGTTCTTGGGTTGTTGCCTAGAATGAGGAACTGATGCTTCACTGAAAAGTATTTGAAACGTGACATTTAAAATGATTTTATATTTGTGTCGTTTGCCTGCACTAAACAAAATAATTAACTAGATAGTTCACACTGGACAGAAAAAAATATACTCTTGTTAATATTTATCAGTTAATCTGAATTCGAACAAACTTGGAATCAATTTTCCAGTTCAGATATCAACTGATTTTTAAAAAAATGCACGCACACAAACAAAATGAGGATCAGAGCCAAACATATGACAGAGAGAGAACGGAGTGGGCTGCTCAATAGCCCATTTTTGTGTCAGTGAACTATGGTCTGTTGCTACAAATGAATTTGTTTTTAATAAAAATATTTATTCTGTAGTTGCTGTGGTTGGAAATTGTCTTCCTTTTTTTCCTTTTTCTTTTTTTGCTCAGGTTTTAAAAGAAAACTCATGAAGCACTCCTATAGTTGATGATTCTTTCAAATTTGAGGAATGGCTTAAATCCAGCTACTTCGAAATTAGTGTTTGGATATCATACCATTCAAGTAGAGATGAAAATTTATGACAAGTGGAAATGTGTTCTGAAAGAAATTTTATGAAATAAGAATCAACTTGAATGCAGAATGGGAATGTTTTTTTCAATCATTAGATTTGAAAATCTCTATGAACTGAAAAGACTATGCCACTGGGGGCCAATCATAGCCCTTACTGTAATAGCAATATGTTCTGCCATGGCTATCATCGATGCAGTCCTGTGGTACTGGCCTTTGGATACAACAGGAGGAAGTATTAATTTCATCATGCTCATCAACTGGACTATTATGATCCTTTATAACTACTTCAATGCCATGTTTGTTGGCCCTGGTTATGTTCCTATTGGCTGGAAACCAGTAAGCAAATAACAATATGGTATATCCCCCTCCCATTAAAATAATATTTCGCTCCATACCTTCCTGATTTTATGTTAGACAATGTCTTAGGAAACCTAATTCTTGGATCTGCAGAATGAAAACAAAATGGGAGCCAATGGGAAATTAATCTATTCACTTTTGTGGATACTTGCTGAATATATAATTGCCATTACACATCTAAAACTATAGTCTGCCTCCTATCTAAGCAACAGATAACTAAAAGAATTTTATATCCTCAGGAGATTTTCTTTAAAAAAACCCCCATGGTTTCTTTCTGAAAAAAAAGTTCTAGTGAGTAAGGCAGCTTGCAGGTAAGACCCATTGATCAAGGTGGTACATATTTTTGAGATTATTGTTGATCAATGCCCACCACCCTTACACAGTTGCATTGATCTTTTTCTTGTGCATTAGGCTTGTTCCTGCAGCAGGAACATTATTATAGATGTTTTATTTCCCAAAATTCTGCTTTAATGCATAGATGAACTTTATAAGGTAATTGTTTCTTTTATCAGTTTGTAAATATGTGTTTGTGTGTGTGTGTGTGTGTGTGTGTATACACACACACGCATACATGTATGTGTATATATATATATATGTGTATATATATATATATATATATATATATATATATATATATATATATATATATATACACATACATACATACTGTTTTGTTTTTAGGAAAATTCTCAGGACTGCATGTATCTTCAATACTGTAAAATATGCCAATCTTACAAAGCACCACGTTCACATCACTGCCGAAAATGTAACAGGTATTATTGCTGATTAAAACTATTCATTGGGTAAGGTTAATACCTATTTACTCATGTAACAATACCCCCTTTAATCATTTCATATATTTTATAGAACGTGAAAATAAACACTACATCACGTTCCTCATGTTACACTTACAGCTTTTTTGCTCTATTGATATTATCTGAAATTAAGGGTTCTTTTAAATGACAAAAAATATTTGGTAAATGAGAATAGGGATGGCTGCTGGTCACTGTGCTTGTATTAAACTTGGATTTGCTTCTTAGGTGTGTGATGAAGATGGACCACCACTGTCCATGGATTAATAACTGCTGTGGATTTCAGAATCATGCCTCATTTACACTCTTTCTTCTACTAGCCCCTCTGGGCTGTATCCACGCTGCTTTTATTTTTGTCATGACCGTGTATACTCAGCTTTATAACAGGGTAAGAAACCACTGTTTTACTTCTTTAAAATGTATGCAGAATTGTATGAATTCGCTTTTGGAAGAACAGCTATACTTGCTGTAGTTAAAATTATATACTGTATATTCCGGCATATAAGGTGACCCGGCGTATAAGACGACCCCCGTCTTCGGCGCCGAGTCTCATGCCTAGAAAGTCGTCTTATATGCCGGAAATTACCGTTATTTCCGACGTATAAGACGACTCGGCGTATAAGACGACCCCCAACTTCGGTGCCAATTTTAAAGCTTGTGAAAGTCATCTTATACGCCGAAAAGTACGGTATCTTTTTTGTCTGCTAAGTGTCTTCATACTGATGATCTAGAACACTGGAAGGTTGTAGCTTTTGCTTTATATCTTTTATTCTTTCTTCATTTGACCCAGGATTAGTTATTCTTCTATATAATAAATTTCACGAGGCTAATTTAAAGTCCAGAGGAGATGGGTAGCATCAACATTTAATTAAATAATTAATTAATCAGAAAGGAGAGTATGCCTTAAAGGTAGGAAAGTATGTTTCTTCAGAAATTGCACTCTGTGCCAAATTTTGCATCTGCCTCTCGGTCAACTGATAATAGATTGTGTCATTCAATAAGCTGGTTATTCTATTTTAAAGCACCATATAAAATTAGGAAGCATTAGAAAAATATAGCAAATTAAAGAAAGAATTTGGGTTGAATTCCCTGTATCTTTTCAGAATGCTTAGCTTTAAATTCAAAGTTACTTATAAGTCTGGTACATCCAGTATATCTGTCATCTATTCGTGTCTTAACAAGTCATCTTTCCAAGAAATCAGATACTGTATGTCCTTCAGATAATATATGACTTTTGGCTTAGGCATAACCTCTGGAAACAACTCAGACTGAGATTGAACTTCTACCGATCAACAGTTAAGACTAGAGAGTTCTCGCTGAGGAACTGAATGTTGTTCAGTTGTTGTCTACTTACCAGTTTTCTTCTCTTTTGTTTCTTTTTAATAGGTCTCCTTTGGCTGGAGTTCTGTGAAAATTGATATGAGTGCAGTCAGGAGGGATCCCCGCCCAATAATCCCTTTCGGATTGCCTGCATTTGCTGCCTCTTTATTTGCCCTGGGACTGGCCTTAGGTACTACGCTAGCTGTTGGCATGTTGTTTGTTATCCAGGTGAGTCAGAAACAGATGAGATAGTCTGATGAGATGTTCTTGTGCTCAAAGGGTGGGGATAGTTCTCAGCAGCTCACGGCATCTTATATTTTCTTAATTCTGGATTCTTTTTTTTAAAAAAATATCAGTCAGCAATTTGAATTTCCAGTGTATCTACAGTGTATTTCGTAACAAAGACTTCATGCATATATGTATTTGTAGGTGTGAGAGAGAGAGAGAAAGAAAGAAAGAAAGAAAGAAAGAAAGAAAGAAAGAAAGAAAGAAAGAAAGAAAGAAAGAAAGAAAGAAAGGAAGAGGTTAAGATGTAGAAATCAGCTAGGATTCTATTGGAATTTGTGATTCAGTTCAAAGAAGTGAAAACAGATTTGTACCATGATTCATTTTTTGTTTCGTTTTGAGTTACTAGAAGTTAGTGCATATATGTGTACAAAACATTACAAATGTTTCTTATTTGATCTGTGCTATGAATCAATTCAGTGATTTCAGTTTTAATTTGAAGGGATAATTTAATCAAACTGTTTCATATGGCCCTAATATAGATGTGTTAATGTATGAGTATGTTGTCCTATCAGCTAAGACTTTCCCATCATTCTGTATGTCTTGCAATGTGTAACTGCCCCTTGTTTCTTTAATATATTCATACTCATATCCTTTCTTTTTACGTTTATCCTCATCCATTTCCCTTTGGCTCCACCTACTCAAATTTTTAAGTTTTGGCATACTACGTAAGTTTTCAGTATGACTGTCCACACCAAAGGGTCTCCCACTTCTGCTATTAAAAAAACCCTACTCTCATGGACAGGTGTGGGCTCTGTTTGTTTGGCAGCTATGGTCTTTGCTCCATTGTAGATAAAGCAGCAATGGAAGCTATGTAGATTGGATGCCATGTATTTATATAGGTAGTCCTCGAGTTACGAGTGTAATGGAGCCTGCCCATTCCACTCATAACTCGAAAACTCGTGGAAGTGAATCTCATACCTTGAATGAGATCACTTCCTTGCTCGTTAAGATGCACATGGCCCATTAAGCGCACATGAGGTACCTCAGAGTGGGGAAGGCCATGGAGGACCTAGTGATGGATCATGCCCCCAAGGCCTCCCTGACCCACTAAGATACCTCATGCTTCCCTCTCCCTTCCTACCGTGCCGGACTCACCTTGAAAAGATCCATCTCCTCTCTGCCGCGGTTCCTGCTGCCACCCAGATCTAAGGCCAGTGGACACTTCCGCGGCCCTCTGGAAGGTGGATCCAGTCACCAGAGGCCTTTTCCAGGCTGCTGCCACCCGGATCTGAGGCCAGGGGACGCTTCTGTGGTCCTTCGGATGCCCAATCTGACTCCTGGATCCACCATCCGGAGGGCTGCAGATGCATCTCCCGGCCTCTGAGCTGGGTGACAGTAGCCTGGAAAAGGCCTCTGACGTCTGGATCCACCTTCCAGAGGGCCACAGAAGCATTCCTCAGCCTCAAATCCAGAAAGCAGCAGCCTGGAAAAGGCCTCTGGCGGTTGGATCAAGCCTCCAGAGGCACATGGAAGCAACAGAGAACACAAGCCTAAAGTACAATGAGATCATACAAGATCAGTAGCGTGAGAACTCGCCCCACTGATCTCGCGTGATCTTGCATTACTTTAGGCCTCCATTCTCTGTGAATGCACCGAAGGCCTGGAGCAGCCAAGAAAGTGCAGGGTGAGTATTGAAGGCCTGATGCCTAGGGAGACCCAGGGCAGGAGTGGGGAGGGAGAGAATAACCAGGGTGAACATTGCATTACCACTGTGGTCGCTCATAAGGGTGAACAATCGCCATGGTGTGGCAACATTTGTAATTTCGGGACTTGCTCATAAACACTAGGGGGCACTCATCACGTAACTTTGAACGAGCATTAAGTGAATACTTGTTACTCAGGGATTACCTGTAGTAGAATTGGATTTCCCTTTTCCTTTCTTTATACATTTATCCCTAATTTTTCAAGTGAAAATCCCAGAAGAGGGGAAATAACAGTGTCAAGGAAAAGGAGACATTCAATAAGATAGTAAAATGACAGAAGATTCCTTTGTCTCTTTATGCTTTGGTAAATCAATACATCGTATTTTTTGATACAATGTTATTTATACAGTAGTAATTGAAGATTATTGACACTATTGTTTAGATCAGTGGTTCTTAACCTGGGCGATATTGCCCCCCAGGTGACGATTTCATTTTTCAGAGGGGCGATGGAACGAAAAGGGGCGACGCGGGGGCAAAGGAACAAAAAGGGGGCGATATGGGGGTGATGGAGCAAGAAGTTTTGGGGACACTTTTGAGACTTTCGTACAGTGAATGGCTGTATATCTGTCGTACAAAAACATCAGATCACTCACTATTAGTGGATTGAATTGTGTTTTCAAATGTTCCTCCAGCTAGCTTCAGTACAGAACGCTGTATATATGTAAATACACATTGCTTATCTTCATGCGTGTTGTGCAGCAGCCTCTACCCATACAATGGCGCGCCATTAGCCAGAATATGGGAGATATGGGGAAAAGACTGGAAATAAATTATTTGCATCGATATGTCCTGATGAACAATTTTAAAGAAAACAAAAAAAGTGTTTGCATAAATTGAAGAATTATCTCCCATGTTGTGATTGAGAGGTTATGTTGGGGGAGGGGGACGATGACAACTTCCTCATTGGCTCAAGGGGGCGATTCGTTCAAAAAGGTTAAGAACCACTGCTTTAGATGACTTAGGTTGCATATAGAGGAAAGAGAAAAAGTATTCTATCAGTATTAATTACAATGTAGGTTAACAATATTACAAGCATAAGATTATTTGACTTTTCATCCAGACTTAATATTAAAGAGAAAAAAAAACCTCTGCAGATTGTATCCGAGTATTTGTTGTACTCATTGCTTAGTATATACTCTCTTTTTGCTTTGTATGTGTCTATCTATATATCATATTCCTATATAGATGAATAGGCAAAGCAAATTTAAGAAGAATTAAAATGTCAAGTAAGAAAAAAAGACTATTGAGCTTCTAACTTCTCTCTTTTTATACATCTGCTAATTTACAATATTTGTAGATTTTTAGGCCTCCTTGGAAACCAGACTATAAATTATCGTATTTGGTTCTTACTTAAGTTTGATTAAACTTTTATTTTGTATATATATAAAATGCTAGTTTTTCCATTGCTTCGAATTCTCCAAGTTTAGATTTCCAAACAGATATTTTTGGAATTATATCTTTCTTTCAGGGTTGAACAAAATTTATTTTCACTGCTATGAGCATATAACTCATTAAATTATTTTTGCTTATTTTTACCTGGGGTTATATCTAATAATAATAGTTGTAGTTTCATTTAAAATGATTCTCATCATTTCCTTAAGTTAAAACAAATTTTGAGAATTATATATGGAAATTCTGAATCTGCTCTTCTAGAAAAACAAAAATGAACACCACCAAGATTTTCTACTAGTCACTGCTTGTTGTGCAGCACTACAGAAGAAAGGCAATTTATAGGTGGTTTATGTCTGAAGAAATAGTATGGGAAGGAAGGATTTTCCTGGTGTAACAAACAAAAGGAAGGAAGGGATGGTTTACTTTAGATTTAGATGTTACAAAAGAGTTCAGATACACAATAATGAATAGCAGGAAGTCCTAAAATGGCTTATTATTTAACCAAAGGCATGGAATGATAGAATAATAATAATATGTGTGTTTGTTACAAATTCAAAACTTTCCAGATCACTCCCTAAGATTTTCACTCTCAAAACTTAAAGTAAATCTAAGTACTAGCGCATATATACAAATGTAATTTATGCATTTATGCTTATTTGCCATTCCACCATGCTATTTATGATATCAAGACTTTGGTAATTAGTGGGTTCAACTAGTTTAGGAATAAAAAATAAATGGGACAATGGATGGACGGAGTGGATATAAGAAGTACCCTTGAGTGTACTGAACCCAGAAATAATGTTTACTTGTTTATCTACAAAGACTTTTATTTATATTGATTCATTCATTCAGATTATAAACAGTACTGTTAAGGTTTCCTGTTCTCCATTTTTTGATCTAATACAATTTCTGTGGAATGAGTTTCTATTTCCTCACTTCATACATTGTAGTCATGAGTTAATCTTTGTGATTTTTTTTTAGATGAAAATCATCATAAGGAATAAAACTTCAATAGAATCATGGATTGAAGAAAAGGTAAAAGTAGTTATTCTCATACTGATTTAAATATATATTATGCCACAGAGGTAGATATCTGCAGTAGATGTTGATAAACAGTATTTATATCCTTTCCTGTTAATATGACTTAATTAAGCCAGGATGTTTTATGGCCTTTTCACACATTTTCTAAGATCTTTCATCACAAGAAGAATCTGTGGTCAATATTGCTTTTTAAATGTTGGGTTTACTTGTAAGCCAACTTGAACAGTTCTTTATTAACTTGATTTGGCTCATAATAAATCTGTCCTTTTGTCATCTTAAATTCATATTTATATGTTGGGCAATTGCAGCAGCTCAACTTCATTGAAGCTTCTATATCTTAAGAAGCTACTCACTAAAGAGAGAAAGGCTTGATGGAAGAAAATCTTGCCAATTGAGCAGCCCTTCTGATATTTAGATGTGAAAATCACAAAAGTGGGTTTTTTTTTTTAAAAAAAAAAAAATAGGACTCTCTGTTTTTCTCTATTTATATCTTTCTACATTGAACATATCCTCTAAGGTCATAATCAAAGCAACCACTATATAATTTCCTTCATTCTGATTTAGTGTGTTGAAGTAATCCAGCTAATGTTATATGATAATCGTCATTTATAATTCTGCATATTTTACAAATATAGCCAATTTTAGTATATTCAGTATGTCATGGTTAAACAAACAATGGTTTTGCATAAAAGTAGTTTCTGGTTACTTTTACTTGTAAAGTATCTCCATTCTATTGTACATGTAGAAAGTCAGAAGCAGAATTGTCTCCCTGAACCTTCAGGGAAGAACTATAACAACCACTGACTTGACTGAACACCTTGCACATCCATTCTGAGAATAATGTGAGAAATAATTCCAGAAATAAATTTTAATATGTGATATCATTGCATCACTAGAGGTCAGCATACAATAAAGAACTTTAAGGAATGATGCGAACCAGCACAGTGCTTTTAAGAAACATAGTGAAAGGTTATGAAATCAATGTCAAAGTTTGACATTGTAAAGGAAGGTATTTTCCTATTTAAATGCAATTATTTTTATTTAGTATTTCTGAAATAGAACTGTCTCTTTTTATTACTCAATATAAATTGAACCAACAATATTCTGGCTTAATTGAGTGCTGAAGAATGTATGATTTTAAAAGTTTTCCACTGTATTTAAATAACAAGTTAAAAATATGCCATCTCACATTGCACTTATCAAAATATCATGGTTCTGAGGTGTTTTGCTCTGTCTCTATTTACAACTACTGCTCTACCAGTAGAAAATAAATATCAAACAGTATAGCAGTCTATACAATATATAGTATAGCAATCTATACAAAGGGAATGGAGGAAAAGAGTTGTTTTTTTTTTCTCACTGCAGTAATCTGCAGTGAGGAAAAAAAAAAATCTTTTTCTCCATTCCCTTTATTTTGTATGTGGCTGTGGATCCTGGGATTTCTCTTTTACTCTAGTTGAACCTTTCTAATTTTTTACTACAAATATCACAAGTTTGAAAATTGGGTAAGAAAAGTTCCTCCATGTTAAAAATCTAATAGATTCATGCAATTGACAGTTTTCTTTTTGTCAACTGTATTTGTGTACATTCCTTGCAGGCCAAAGACCGCATTCAGTATTATCATACAGAAGAAGTCTTTATATTTCCTTATGACCTAGGAAGCAAATGGGAAAACTTCAAGCAAGTCTTTACATGGTCTGGAAATCCAGAGGGAGATGGCCTGGAATGGCCTCTAAGAGAAGGCTGCCATCAGTACAGTTTAACAGTATGCTACTTTCCTTTGCTTTTCCTTTATGTGCCTACAATTAAATGTGAAGTAAATGCATTGAGAAATTGGCTGTACTGAAATGCTGTTTCATATCTTTCAGATTGAGCAGTTAAAACAGAAAGCTGACAAGAGAGTGAGAAGTGTAAGTCATCATCAGTTGCCGTCTATATTACCTGATCTTAGCGTAATATTATTTTGAAAGTTAAGAACTGGATGGTTTCATGTTATATTTTAGAACTCTAAAATATGTTGGGTATAATAGAATACTATGATAATGCCATTATAGCATAAAGTAATGTTATTCCTATATAAGCATTGTAATTTATCATGAGATGTGTGTGATATTATGAATGTCTTTAGCTTGGTGCAAAGAAAGCGAAGCAAGAAAGAAGAATCAAGTAAAAAGAGAAGAGGAAATTCTAAATAAATAGCTTATGAGCTATTGCTGTGTGTTGAACATTTTAATTGATTCTGTTTTAGTTAGTCATTAACCTAACAGTTATGGAATACATTGAAAATGCTGAACAAATACTTTCCTTAGACAAATCTCCTAAAGTCTTAAAATCCCAGTAACATTTCCTGGCAAAAAGTATATTTTTTCTATATAAAAAATAACACTAATCCTTTGACTAAACTAGCTTCTTACAGAATTGAACCTAATATGTTAAACTTATATCAAACAATTAGATCAAGAGTTCATTTTTTACACTACAGACCATGACTTCTCTGGAAAAACAGCTGCTTTCCAGTTGGTCAGGAGCTGTTTTATGTCTCTATAAATTCTGGATACTTATAGTTTTCCACCCTAATTATGTACCTAATAATTCTTTTTGATGGGAGGGTGCCTTTGGGTCAGTATTGCCTCTTTGCGGGCAAGAGTTCAGAAGTGGTTTACCATTGCCTCCTTCCTAAGGCTAAGTGATTGGCCAACTGGCTTTGTGACTAAAGTGGAACCAGAAGACATGGCCTCAGTTTCTAGCCTGATGCCTTAACCGCTACATCAGACTGGCTCTCTGGAAATTCATATTTTATCTTTGAGCAAATAGTTATGGACAGATAGATAAGATTATAATGCTGTACAAACCTTTTATTTTTGAAACATTGAATCAGTATACATAAATAAAATGTTTAAATAAAATTATGTTCAATTACTCCAGATATAATATCTTGTTACATCTTATCATTCCTATCAAAAAAAAATATACAGTATTGTTGTTTTCTGAGTATGTGATGTCTAAGAGACATAATGGCTTTTTAAAGACCCCAAATTTCCTTATAACATTTCAATTCCCACTTTTATTTGATTGCTCAAAATTCTTCCATGTGTTTCCTTCATCATGCAAACACTTTACTTATTTCTGCAATTTGGATGATGTTCCTTTCAGAAAGATTGGGTGGCTTATAATAATACAAATGTTAAGTAGAGAGACTAAAAAGAACCCCAAACCCAATGGTACTATAGTTTCCTGAAGAAAAGCAACTATGGCTTACAATGGCCCACACAAAAGGAGACTACACATAGAAATTCATAGCACAACTATTTCCCAACAGCAATTGCTGGTTCTTCAAAGAATATTCTTCTACTTGCACAGAGAAAAGTTGATAAAATACGTTCAAGAGCACCTTTCTATACAGGTGCAAAAATCTAACCATAGACATTTACTATAAGATTGTGAAATGGAGGTGGGAGGGAAATGCAGATAATTCACCTTCTACCTGAAAACCTACAGTAAATGTCAAAATAATGTATAATTGGCAGGTGACAACAGTTAGAAAAAGAAAGTGAAAATGATTTATATAATTCCAGCTCCTCATTAATATAAATCTAAAAGATTAAATATTATTGTTTGTATTTCTATTATATTTAAACATTATCACCATCTTGACTAGGTCCATTAATTTCAAAAGCCTTTCTTCCATTCTTTCCATCTTTGGGCTTATAACTGCATTGCTTGCTGATGTCATATATAAAAGTAAAGCTCTGTTATTTATCCACCTGATATCTGCCATTCCTAAAAGAAAAGCTTCAGATTTCAATAGTACATCTACTTTCAAAATTTTATGAACCAACAAAAATACCTGATTTTAAAATTTCTTAGCCTTCTTACTATTTTATAATCAATGGTTTGTAACCAGAAAATTATCTTGAGCAACTTTTTTTAATCCAATGTTCTAGGTACGGTACCAAGCAATAGAAGACTATAATGGTGCCTTTTGCCCTGTTACAAAAGGCATAAGGACTTTCTGCACAACTCCATGCACTGAGGAGCCTAGAATTATCCTTCGCAAGAGAGACCATATTTTAGCCACCCGAGGACTGAAGTTAGTATCTCTATATATGATTACTTCAAACTTTTAAAAATGTTTCAAAGGTAAACAAGTGCTGTCTGTTAATTCTTTATTCTTTTTTTTTTTTAATTTTTTGGCATTGGATGTATGGCGACAAAATTATTGACCGGGCAACAAATGGTAATTACTTTGTTTTAAAGTTAGAATATCTTATTTCAATTTCATAATGTAGTTTATATGCACTTTATGTCTTAAGTACATTATTATCAGAGGGTTCCAAATGCCAAACCCATTAAAACTATAACAAAAATTTGAAAACCCAATCTGAAATAGTTTAATATGAATTCAGCAGATTTAGAGGACAGGAGATAAGGAATTCTAATTAGGAAAATCTGTGATACAACTGCCTACTTAAAGATAGAAAGGTATTATGCCATTATATCAAATAGATAATATGTCCATCTTCCAGCATTTTAGAATTTAAAGTATTTCAAAAGTGTATCTAGAAACTAGAAAATGGAGTTGATTTAAATAACTAGATTAAATAATTAAGAGTGCAGTTTTAAACATATGTCCTTGGAGATAAGCCCCAATTTATATCAGTGAGATATACTTCAAGTTTGACATCTGTAGGTTTGTGCTATTAGGAACTTCATTTATTTTCAGGTTCTTAAAAGGACGTAATGCTTCTAAATAAACTCCTACAGCAATGTAGTTAATATAGGCAACATCTAAATCATGTCCTCCATCTTGAAGAAAAATTGTGAAAACTGAAAAAAAGAGTTTAGTTTTGGAGATTTTACACAGTTTTTGACAGGGCTCAGAATGCATAGTGATGGGACAGGAAGGAAAAATCTGCAAGTGGTATGGTCTTTGATTTCTGCTGTTCTTTCTCACTGTTAGATGGGGAGAGAATCAGAGGTTGGTTCCCAAGAAAATGTGTTGAAAAATGCCTGTATGATTCTGAATCAGATCAGCCGTTGGATGGAGAAAAGAAAGCAAGATAACTCTGTGATAACTGGAAAAGTTTGCTTTGGACCACTGTCCTCCTACTTCAGCGGTTCTCAACCTATGGGTCGCGACCCCATTTGGGGTCGATCGACCATTTCACGGGGGGGGTCGCCAAGCAAGGCTGTCCGCCATTTTTTCCCCTTTTCTGGCGGGTGCCTTACCTCCCTTGGGCTGGGCCAGCTGGTGGCCCAGCCAGTGGTCAGCCTCTCCATCTCTGCCACTTGCCAGCTACGCCTTGGCCGGCGCAGGGGGCGGCACCACACATGGCGGCGCTCCCAGGCAGGGAAAGTCCTCGACTTATGACCAATTGGATAGTCCTCAACTTAGACTGGTTTAATCCTCGACTTACGACCAGTTTAGTCCTCGACTTACTCCTGTTGGAGGTTGCAGCATTAAGAACCACTGTTGAGAACCACAGTTCTACTTGAATATTCTATATATGTTCTTATGTATGGAACAAGCATCATATTTTGTGTGTTTGCAAGGATGGGAGCTTCAGTGTCATAAATCTAATCATCTGTTGTCATTTTCAAAAGGGAGGGAGCCATTCCATGGACGCCTTTTCATATTATAGCTTTCACAATATAGAGCACATTTGGCTTGCTTTTTTATTTAATTTTATTATATAATCTTAAGAAATGTAAGAGCTACCTTTTTTCGGATATTTAAGCAGTATTTAAGTACTGCTCATTTAAAAATATATTCTCTTGGTATTTACATTCCTCAAATTACTTTTCTATTGCCATCATGAAAGTTGAAAGAACCATATGAATGAATGCAACTGAGTTGACTTAGCTGATGCTTTGGATTTTTTCTTATTTTAATATGTAATTTTTATTAAACAAAAATAAAATGGAAAAGATTATTTTTATTCTTTAGTGCATCTTTAGTGATGAACGTGCTGATTTTTTTGCAGTGAAATAACAAAACCAGATAACAATTCACACAACATGTTAACCCATGACAGCACTTTTTGCTTCTGTGTAGTGTAATGTGTGACATCAAATTATTACTATATTGCTTTCTCCAGCCTGGTACCCTGTAGATACAATAAATTTTATGTCCAATCAGCAGGGGTAAATTGTAGCATTTGGTTTCTTCCTCTGTCTAAAGGTAATGTTCAATCAACATTTGAACTTGCTTCTAAATTACAAGTTTTTTTATATATTCCTCAGAACAAGTTTCTATGAGACTCTACAGTTAAATTCAATAATCAAACAAATACATGCATTAAAAAAAGTATAAAACATTGAAATAGAGAAATATAATTAGATTGTACTTAACTCTTTAAGTAGGCCAGGTCAAAAATCAAATATCACAAGGATTCCAGGATTGCCACTTTATTGTTTTATTGAAATATATATTGAGAGCTTGTTCAAAACCTTTGCAGCCCCCTTTTTAAAAACAATAGGCCAGTGTAGGGCTTTTCTTTCTATTCTTCAGGTCTGATAAACCATTTACCTTTCCTACCTCCTCAAGGCAAGAAATAAATTCCTTTACAGCAGTGGTTTTCCAATTTGACAAGTATATGAAGTATGGACAACTCCCAGATTTCCCCAATAAACACAGTGGCTGGAGAATTCTAAGAATTGAAGTCCACACTTCTTGAAGTTACCTAGTTGGGAAAATACTGCTCTACAGCAAAATATGCAGAAATGCCTGGTCGGCTAGTCTGTTAAATGTGTGTTGCAGATGTCATTTTAAGCACATGAATTTGTGCTCAATAAATAAATCCTCAAGTACCACTTAAGTTTAAAAAGTGGCAGAAAGTGAAGAAAGCTGTGGTGAAGCATAATTCATATTGCAGAAGACAATTCATAGAGAAGTCAATTCCAATGCAGTAAGGATTTTGACATTAGTGCATTTCACTTGTCTGACACACCTTTCCAAGATCTTACTTGTGATGGCAGAAACTACTATAGCTGCATCTAATTTGCAGTTATAAAGAACTATTAGCCTATAACCATGCAAGTATGAAAGTTCAATACTAGTCTTTCAGAGAAGACCCAGATGGGAGAAAGTGCTGTAATAGTTGATAAATAGAAAATAAATACTTTTCAACAGTGACATTAAACAGAACTGTATCAAATCAACAATGTGAAAAAATATAGTAACTTTATGAATTGCTTCGGACTAGATTGGGTGGAAAATGTATAGAAAAAGTTTAACTGCATGTTCCAAAAAAGATATATGCATGCAAGTTCCAAGGGTTAAATCAGGGTAGTCAACCTTGGCTCTTTTATGACTCGTGGACTTCAACTCCCAGAATTCCTGAGCCAGCTGGCTCAGGAATTCTGGGAGTTGAAGTCCACGAGTCATAAAAGAGCCAAGGTTGACTACCCCTGGGCTAAATAGTAGAAGCTATTGCTGTTTTTATGATTCAGAACATAAGATCTTCAGGGTACAGAAAATTATGGCTTCAGGGTGATAACAATATTGTTTTAGCCTAAATGCAGATGATCAGTATGAAGAAGCCACCCTATAGGCCTATTTCAAGTCAGCGGTATGTATAATGACACAATCATAGCATTGGAAATGGCCCTTTTATTCTGTTTACATTGTTGATTATTTAAATTTGTTCAATTTTTTACTACTAAAAATTGGAGTGTTATCTTGTTAAATGTAATTCCCTTTACCACAACGAGTCAAAAGTACTTATATTTTCCATTACTACTGTCCCTGAAATTGTACTGAACCTTATTTTAGCATCTGTGATTGGCAAAGATGCCTGATGCATTGTACTTCATGAAAATCTCATAGTAGTAGTAGTAGTATAGAAAATATTTCAAATCATCCAGTTGTGATTGTGAAATGGACTATTTTGCAATGCTTGGTAATATCTTAAGTGGGAAGTACAATATATTCTCTATCTAAGCGAAAGGTTATTAAATTTTAATTATATTATAAATTAGAATTATGACATTTCAGAAATTGAAAATAATTCTGAACCTGTCAAAATTAAAATAAGCTTAAATAAAGAAATGTTTAATTATTAAAAGCAAACAGTATAGTTACTTATTCTATCTAGGCTCCAATGAAATCAATTAGTTGTGTTCAGAGGAAAAAATGTTTTTATTATTTTAGGGGTTATCTTATTATTTTATTTCTATTTTAGGTCATCATATCATGTGGTTTGTTTGGCTACAGAGCCAACCACGAATTCAGCATTTTTGGATATTCCAAATACCTTTGTATATAGATAAATTGACATATATTTTTAGGATATGTTCTTTTATTTGGTTTTTATTTTTCATATTCAAGTTTCAATTAACAGATACAGTCATTTTGTACTTTAGTGGAATTGGATATACCAATTTAAAATATATATACAATTGATGCTAATATATTTAAGTGCTCATCTATGAATGATACATCCTATGCGTACATGAAGTATATTTTACAGTTTTTAAAATATGATAAAGTCCCCAAAACATTATATATTACATTATTCTTATGTAGTGAATAGCTAGTGTATTGCCATAACAACTCAATCAAACGAGTACAATGTCATTATGTTCTCTTAATAGTCTGATAGAGTTCAATGTTTTCCCATAAACTCAGTTTTTTAATATGTTTTTAATCAATTTAACACTTTTCAGTTTCAGTTAGGATTATACAATAAAGGAAAATGTACTTTCCCCAGTGGTTTTAAATAACTGAAGCCAGTGCAGTTTGCTTTGTCTTCCTGGGCATGTAACTCTAAATGGGATTCTTAACCACCTACACATATACCATGTTCATTGGTTTCTTTTAGCAGTTTCCTTTGCCAGTTAGGCACTTTCATAATCCACTGTCAATATGTTCAATCAAGGTGGCCTTCATTCCTTTACATGTCAGAAGCATAAAGAGCATCAATTTGACTCCTGAAGCGTTTGACAAGATCTGCTCTTCTTGACTTCAGTGTTGGAGTTAAGAGTCCATTTTCAACTGTAAATAGTTCTGGATGAAGGTAGATGTATTTCACCTGGTGGAGAAAATATTTTGTCATAATCAAAAATGTTTGACGCATAACTATGGTACCATGAAGGCAGTTACTATTTTATTGACAAATGTTAGAGAATAGTATAACTGAGGAGACAGTCTACAGCATCTTTATTTCATTTTCATATTTATAGAATAGTTATCTTCCACTGAATTTATATTTATAATTGGGGTTCAAGACCTATCTCTAACTGGAATAATATAGGAAATGAAATCCTCCAAAACCCTGGTATTATTAGAGTCTGTTCCAAATTAGGTATAGCACTTTTCTGTCTATGAAATCAAGCATATTTCCAACATGAATAAAATGAATATACAAATCTTCATCTTGCACATCAAATCTCAGAATGGCAAAGTAGAATGGGAATTTAGGGAGAGCACAACTTTTGGTGTTCATCATAATGGGGATTGAAATTTAATATAGACAAAACAATATTTTTTTCTTTGAATTCCTTACAAAAAAACATTACCTTCAGCAATTTCCTAAATAATTACTTACTTGTTCAAAGGTCTTAAGCCCAGCTTCTTTCCCCAATTTGTTCATATCCATCAATACAGCATTTTTCACTACCTTGAAACAAAAATGGAGTTTAACTGTTAACAGTTTGCCATTTAAAAAAATTAAAAAATAATACTAACCTAAAGGTAGATAAAACTGCTTTTTGAAGTGTAAGTCAAATGTAGACTGAAAATAATGAATTTGAAACAAAAAAAACCCAAGTAGTAAACCTGATTAGTCTTTCTTCATAGTGTAACAATTAAAGAATTTAAACTTTCAATTCAAACTTTCCATTTGAAGTGTTTGTAGGATAATTGCTAAGAAATGTCATTAAAATTACTTCTATAAATTAATTCTACCTAATCAACATGTTCATGAAATTTTCTCTCATACCTTAATCCATTAAGACGAATTTGGTTTACACCAAAGAGATGTGCTTTTCTCATTTTGTTTCTTCGTATCGGAGCTATCAAGAACTATCAACTTGTACAATGCAAAACATACAGATAATCCTCATTTAACAATCATTTGTTTAGGACTATTCAGATAACAATAGCATTGAAAAAGTGACTTGCAACAGTTCTTGCATTTACAAGCGTTGCTGTATCCCTATGATCATGTGATCAAACTTTGGGCGCTTGGCAATCAGCATGTATTTATGACAGTTGCGACATCTCAGGGCCATGTGA